TAAAAAATTGAAAATTGAAAATTGAAAATATAAAAAAATAGAAAAAATAAATAAATATTTTATTTTAAATTTTATTTACTCCCTATGTTCCAACTTAAAATACCTTTTTTTTTACCATTTTAGTTCGTCGCCCTCTAAAGTATCTCTTTCTTATTTTAGTTAAAATTATCATACATAAATATCAAAATGCTTTTAACTTTTACCTAAATTTCAACATATCATCAAATTTTATTTTATTATTTATTTATTTATTTTCTATTTTAAAATTTTATTTTTTTATTTTTTTATTTTTAAAAATAAAATAAAAAGTAAAAATTATCCACGTTTTTTGCCAGTGGCACTGACTTGGCAGATACGTATTTTCTGGCATACTATGCAGGTTGTACGTAGGTATCTTCGGTGCCCGAGAACTAAATGTGCGAAAATATTTCACTTGCGAAACTATTTTAAGATAACCTCCTGTTATGAGACTAAAATAATAAAGCGGTCTAGTTACAGAGACTTAAAAAACAATTTATCCTATGAATAATATGTTGTATGCATTAATATCATGTGATGTTTGTAATTGTTTGTGATATCAATAATGTGCTAAATATATTTTTTAAAATTCAGCACAATAACAGTTGCCGTGTTTACTAATACATATATTTTTGTTATATTTACTTTCTTGCAAAGATATGAACGTAAAAAATTTTAGAGTCGATGACTATATTTGTCTCATCGACAATTCTATGACTCACAGTATCCTAGAAAACAAAAGTTATTTTTCTCATCTGAATATGTGAAAGACCACTGTTATTACTATAAGTGGTGCAACCAAAATGTTTGAAGGCTCAAGAAGAATAATTGTATTTCTTCCTAAATAAACCAAAATGGCAATTGAAAATGCCTTATTCTCGAGCAAAGCTCAAAGGAATTTATTGATCTTAAGTGATAGTTGGAAAAATAGATACCACATTGAAACATTGAATGAGGTAGAAAATGTGTATCTTTTGATTACTCATGTTATGAATGACAAATAAAATTTCAAAGAAAAATTACCATCATTTTTCTCCGGCTTGTACAATCAAAAAATAAGTGTCATTACATAGTAGACCAAATGCCTACTAGCGAATTTATAACTTGGCTCGATCGAATTGGGTATCCTGACAATGTAATGTTGAAGTGAATTATTGAAAATCCAAATGGCCATTCATTGAGAAAAAAAAAATTATATTCAGTCTGAATTAATTTATTTGTGTTTCATGTCCTCAAAGGAAGTTAATAACTAGGTCATTTCCAAAGTTGAAATTGAATCTCCAACTTTTCTAAAACAAATTCAGGGAGATATTTGTGTATCTATAGATCCACCGGATAGACCCTTCAAGTACTTCAAAGTGCTCATTGCCATGTCAACACAATTGTCACACAATTGTTTATTATTATCTCGAAAGCTACCTTTGATAAATATTGTATATCGATTGGAATCACTTTAGAACATCTTATTTCTCATGTACATATGTAGAAATAGCTTGGTTGAATCACTCATAAAAAAAATACAATTAATTGGTAGATCACTATTAATGAGGCATAAACTTTCTGTATTAGTTTGAGGACATGCAATATTGCATGCAACAATTCTGATGAAAATAAGACCAATAAGCTATCACTATTATTTTCCTAAATAATAGATATTTGAAAAAAAAAAGAAAAAAAAAACACATCTCATCTATGAATTTTTTGGTGTGTAGTCTATGTGTCAATTTACGCCACCCTAATGCACCAGAATATGACATTCAAAAAGGTTTTGTATATATGTAGGGTATGAATCACCATCAATTGCAAAATATCTTAAATCAACAATGAATGATTTCTTTACTACAAGCTTTTCAGATTTTCACTTTAATGAATCTTATTTTCAGATATTAGAGGGAGACAATAATCAACTAAAAAAAATTTCATGAAAAATACCACTCGACTTTGATGATCCTCGTACGAAACATGTGAACTTGAAGTCAAGAATTGTGCATTTGCAGAAAATTACAGATCAATTGTCTTATGCTTTTAATATGTTGCTAGAATCACTCAATTATATATAGCATCAACAAATGCAACAACTAAAATAAATGTCCCAAAAGAGAAAATACCAAGTGCTAATGAACATACAGACTATTGAGTTCCAATGATAAAAATCTATTAAAGAAGAAAATTGTAACTACTATGAAGAGATTAACAATGATTAGATATCTGAAAAGTCAGTACAACTCTTGAAGCGGTTGATACATAAAATCTTGATAAAAGTGAGAATGAAGTTTTTGAAACTTTAGTTAACTATACCACTATAAAAAAATATTGAAACCTAAAAACACAAAATATATATATATATTGATTGCACTTTTGCATATTCTTTAACACTCGATATAATAAAATATGACGAGTATTGTGAACCACAATCAATTGATGAATGACGGGAAAAAAATAATTGACCAAAATAAAAAGACGCAATTCATTCTGAATTGGACTTATTGAATAAACAAAAAGCATTCGGCCCCACAGTCCAAATACCTGAGAATGTGAAGTTGCTGGCTACAGATAGGTGTTTACGAGAAAAAAAAAATGATATCACAAGGTAAAAAGTAAGGCTTCTAGCCCATAATTATTCTCAGAGAATGGATATACTGAGTCTGGTAAAAAAATAATGAATGACACAACATTCAGGTATTTACTGAGTCTGGTAGTATACAATAATGTTTATATGCGATTAATGGATGTAGCTATTGCATATCTTTGTGGTTCCTTAAACAATAATATCTACTTGAAAATTCCAGAACAATTTAACATGTCCGAATCATTTAGATCAAAGCCAAAAGAATCATATTCCATCAGATTGTATAAGTTCTTGTATGGGCACAAGCAATTTTGTCAAATGTGATACAATTGCCTCAAAAAAAAGTTTAACAAAAGAATATTACATAAATGACTTTATATGTCCATGTATTTTCATATAGAAAAATAGATCGTATTTTATAATCATCATTGTATATGTCGATGACCTCAATTCAATTAGAACTTCTGATGAACTCTATAAAGTTGTTGAATATCTAAAAAGGAAGTTTGGAATAAATATTTTTGGAAAAATTAAATTTTGCATTGATTTGGAAATTGGGTATTTAGAAGGTGGGATCTTTTATCCACCAATATCAAATTATACCAAATGTATTAAAATAATTTCTATCAATAAATTATATCCGCTAAGTACTCCAATGATCATTAGAGTACTTGATCCAATAAATGATTCATTTAAACCAAAAGAGGAAAATGAAGAAACATTTGGCCCAACAATGTCATATTTGAGTGCTATAGGCTCGTTAAAATATCTTACAAACAACTAACCTAAAATATCATTTGTTATAAACTTAACATTAAGATTTATCTTATCACCTACTTGACAACATTGAAATAAGATTAAGAATATTTTTTGCTATCTCTAAAGAACAATTGATCTCAAGTTACTTTACTTAAAGATTCTCAATACGAATGGATTGGATTGGTTTTGCCGATGTAGGATATTTATCTTATCAACATAAAGTCAAGTCTCATACTAACTATATATTTACTTGTAGCAAAATTGTGATTTCTTGGAGATTGATAAAATAAACATTAATTGTCACTTCTCCAAATCATGCTAAAATATTGGCAATACATGAAACTACTCAAGAATATATTTTGTTGAGATATGACTCAACATTTTTCAAAAAGTTGTGGTTTTACACCTAAAAATAAAATTCTCCAGACTATATTGTATGAAGACATACTTATATAGTCCAATTAAAAGAGGGTTATATAAAATAAGATAATACAAATATATTTCACTAAAAATCTTTTTGTTTATAATCTTCAAAAGAATTGTAAAATTAATGTACAAAAAATTCGATCAGATAATAATTTAACGGATATATTAACTAAGAAATTATCGACTGTAATATTTGAAAAATTGGTAAACAAAATTAGAATACGTCGGTAATGCTCATATCACATGAAGAAATTCATTAGAATTTTTTATAGTAAGATTTTAATAAACCATTCTTCGTGTAAAAATATCCAATGAGTATTGTACACATGCTTACTACATATACATTAGGCGGACGATTTTACATACTATCAACATATGTGATACGTGTTTGAATGGGGCACATTGACTATCATAATTTCACTTATGAAGTGCTTATAAATATGTATATATGTGAATGAATAAATGATACATTTATTATAAAAAAATATATTTATATTTTTTATTATTTATAAAATAAATTCAAACTTTCAAGCTTTCCAAAACAATAGTCTAAAGCATTGTTTGCCGGATCGGCCGATCCGGAACCACTTCGGTTCAAAAACAATATCCGATATTTTTTTTTTTTTTTTCTGTTGACGCCTTTTTTTCTGTTTTTGCCTTCTTTCCATTTCAAATCTTAAAAAATTGAAACTTGGGATGAAGAATACGGCATTGGAGAAAAATTTATGTGAATTTAGAGAGGCTAGAGGTGTATATACCGCCTCAATAAACCAATAAGGATTGCGAGGGTTGGGGAAGAAGGTGGGTGCGGGAAGAAAGGGATTTAGGGTTGGTATAATATAAAATTAATTTATTTACTTAATATTTGGAAGTAATATTAATTTATTTAGATTAATTTGATATTTAATTTATAGATTTCTTATTGTATTTAATTTTTATTAATATTAATATTTTAAAATAATTTGTAAATTTATTATTTAAAATTTTCATTTTTTAAAAAAATATAAATTTATATATATATAAAATTATATAGATTTGATATCTGACCGATACGCCTGGCAGATACACCACAATGTATCCGAAATCGTAAAGGCCGATTCAGGATAACGATCCGCGACGGCTAACCATGGTCTAAAGAGAAGCTCTCTTTGCATATACTCTATCTGATCTATAGATAAAAGTTGTAAAGGCAAATGCACGGTAACAAAATAATAATCATACATTTACATAGTACATTAACGAGATGTTAATTCCAACAGTACTGAGTACACAGGCACAGCACAGCACAGCATGTAACTACAAGAATTACAGCTATCTGTTTACCCCATACGTCATAGAAAATAAATTAATTACAGCACACACAACACAACTACACAAGGACCTAACAAAGTAAACTAACCAACATTATCTTCTGCTTCTTCGTCGTCTTCTTCTTCTTCTTCTACATCAATCCATCCATCCATTATCTTATATATATATATATATATATCTACCCATTTCCAGAAAGGCTACATATCTTTATCTTTCTCTCTATCAACATCCTTCTCTTCAATTCTACCGAACAAATCTTTATCATTGCGACCGCAGATTATTCGCGGTCGCCTCTTCCTTGGGGATGTGATCAGAATCCACGAAGAACTCTTCCACTGAATCACAACCAGCATATCATGTAAGTAAGAAGATATATAAAACAGTTCCAAATACCCTTTAATCAGTTCTTGCACAACTGATTGACTTATCTCAACTCAACTGTTCAGAACAATGCATGAATGTTGACATGAATATCTTCCTTCTTACCTATAGTCTCATGCTCCAGAGAATTGAGTCGAAGGTCCGAATCCGAAGCTAGAAATGGGGAGCCAGGATAGCTTCCAAGAGCTCCAAACTCTGCCACAGTATATATATATATTATATAGAAAAACAAGAGTGCATATATATAAACGTTGTAGTCATTTGCTAAGCTCAAAATTTCCCGGAGTTAAATTACCTGCCAAGTTAGACATATCCACAGTTAGATCTGTAAAGCTAAAATTCCACGGGATCTGAGACAAGGATCGAGGAGAATCTTGAGAATTTCCAGGGCCATTATCTGGTGGTAGGTGCAGTTGTGCCGAACTTGCCACATCGGGCATAAAAGCAGCATCGAGGGCACAAGTGTCAGCTTCGATTCTTGCTGCTTCGGATGAACTGAAGCCAAAATGGCCACTGGATGCCGCTGAACTGGGACTCAATGTCGTGCTTGGAGATATCTCAGCCATACCCATTGTGAATGTGCTCGCCCCACTGCAGACAAAACTAATTCTTAGTTATAATTTTGGCCTGGGGGTTAAAATCATATCTGATCCTCACAAATCGAGCGTGTCCCTTACTCATTTCCAGTGTTCAACCTCATAAGATGAAAATTCCTTAGAGCAGAAGCACCATCGACCATGTGGCAACTTGGGGCAGTGTAGACCATAGGATCGATACAAGGTTGTCCGGTGTAAGGAATTGGAGGCTGATGCATGATCGGGTATCCAATGGGTAAGCTGTTGGCTGCACTGCAAATAAGTGGCTTTGAATTATCACAATAATATATATGTATGAAACGAAAGACCCCCTCGAATGGAAAATAGAAGGATTCTTACCAGCCTGGGTACGAACACCTTTCTGCATTGCAGCCAAAGGAGCCTTCGGAGGAACCACCGGATGCGTCATTACACGAGACTGATGCTCGAGCAAGTGGTTGAATATAACAATTTGCTTCTTCAGTTTAAGCCTTGTGTAGTATGCCCGGAAAAAGTCTGCATTTTCTTCTTCAAGCTTCTGCCACACTGAATTAAGAAAGAACCATAGTTCGAGGAGCATTGTGAAATAAGAAGTACCAATTGTACAATAAGGATTTTTCGTTTAGGACAAGTTGGATCCTCTACCTAACTTGGTGAATCCACGATCTATTCCAACACGACTCTGTAGGTTCTCGACAATTTCGTCTTTATTCATATACAGCTGGAGACACCGTTCAATCAAATTTTGGACCTAAAACATACAAACAGGGTTACCAGCTATGTCAAGAGTGCTTCTAAAACATTCTCAAATGAGCTCAAAAGAAATAGACCTACAAATTCAATATCCTCACGGGAAACTTTCCCGTTGCCATTGCTAGACACTGAAACTGAACCTGAATCGGGCACAGGAGTCTCTGCTGCGCCATTTTGGCTTACTACAATTTTAGACGTAGGAAAACCAAGATTAGTGGACTTCACATCATCCTGATCCTTTAAGGGCAAATCGCTCTTCATGACATCATAAGCCAGCTCGCTGAGAAATGGAAGAAAGTTGTCAGCAAGAAAATGTTAAGGACGGCAAAGTTGTTATCAACAAGAAAATGCCAGCAGTTGTTTTCCATGAAGTTCAAGCATTGGATAGCCCTGAGATCCGCATAGATACCATGATTTCAAACACATCAAACAATGGTAATTTATTTAAACTAGTTAAGAAACTTCCATTGTAACAAGTTTAGCACAATTCCAATTACATTCAAAATGTACTTAGATGTCATCTCCACAATCAACACAACAAAAAAGCAATGAATTTCTCCAAAGCAGAGAATTAGATAGACAAAATCGAGGAACAATGATATTGATAATGAATTCCACACTAACAAACCAGACAAGGAGAGCACTCACATTCACCATTCACTTGCAAATCTCAATAAGTAAAATTTTCTGTTACCAGATATAAACCTGAAACCCTTGTTTAAATTAGATGCAACTAATCTAATCTACTTATAAACCTACTTGAATATACCTTGAAAAGGGATAAAAACTCTTTCATGTAAGACAGCATCGTAAATACTTATGGAATACTTCCTCTACAACTAACTCACAGGTTGAAATAAACATAAACATTTTTCTTGATGTTCATAAAAGTGACTCAAAAGTATAATGATAAAATTAAATAACAAGGCAGAACACACAACACATCCTTAATATAAATTATTATATTTGACTCCAGAAACACCAGTATTATTTACTGTATAATTTCCAATTAATTTCATATAGCTGCACCAAATTGCTGGTTTAAGTTCCCGAACTTGTCAATCGATGAGCTGCAAACCAGTTTATCTGCAAACGATCGAGAAAGAATGAAGTCGTATCGTCTAAACCTGATTGCAATTGATGAATTTCAGATTTTGAGGGAGAAATTGAACAGGAATCTTGGTACGTACGGGGTTTAATTTGGATTCAAAGTGGAGAGAGTGCTTGCAGTTGCAGAGAAAAGTGAAGAGAAATTCCGATGACCGAAGAGCAGCAGGAGTGGTTGTTCGTTCAACTTCTGTTTGTTTGAATTTGCGTTTCCTTCAGCTTTGAGATTGAAGACAACACTGAACCTATTTATTCTTTGCCTCTTTCTCATAGGCACGGAGAGTGACGTCGAATTATTTTTTATATTTTTTAGTACCTCCGCTATATTCGAAAGGTTCGTATTTGTATATATTCAGTTTCACACTTAATTTATCTCATTTTTTATTTTTTTATTTCTGTTTATTTTATATAATTTGCCTTTTTTTTTAAAAAAAAAAAAATATATATATATAATTATATATTTTAATCGCATTTTAAAATTTATAATTTATATTTCATCCTCCCGTCCGACCTCTAACAATTTCATTATATTTAATATTAAAAATATAATTATATTTGTATAATTTTTATTTTTTTTACAAATGTTCATCTAAAACAATGAAAGTATTTGTGCAATTTTTTCTTAATTTATAATAATTAGGGAAAAAATTAATTTTGGTGTCATAATCTCAATATAAAAAACTTATCAACTTTGGTATTATAAACAATTTCAATCAATTTTGGTCATATTATAAACAATTTCAATCAATTTTGGTCTTATAGTTAAAAACTTAACGGAAATTACTGCCGTGGACATAACGGAGGTGATGTGGCAGTTGACATGGAAACTACACGGCCATATTGTTATATGATATATAAAATTTTAGACTAAAATATAAATGTACATGGCCGTGTAAAATTATACATGACCGTGTAACAACAAGGTCATGTATAATTATACACTGAAATATACATGGCCGTGTATATTGTACATGGCCGTGTAGTTTCCAGGTAAGATGCCACGTTACCTCCGTTATGTCCATGTTAGCAATTTTTGTTAATTTTTTAACAGTATGACCAAAATTGATTGAAATTGTTTATAATTGAACCAAAATTGATTGAAATAGTTTCCAATTGAACTAAAATTAATAATTTTTTTTATATTGGGACCAAAATTGATAAATTTTGATTATATTGAGACCAAAATTGATTTTTTTCCTAATAATTAATATTCAAATATCAACATGCAAAAAATAAACTAGACCTTTAGAGGCGAACGGAGGTAGATATTTTTTTTATTTTAATTAAACTATTTAGGCATATTAATCTTAATCTATAATTATTTTTATTAAATTATAATTATTTTTACTAATATACTTCTTAATTAATTACTAATTATTCAATACTTAAAACTCTATGCCTAAGCTAAATGAGACAATTTAAAGAGACAATTTAGCTGGGACGGATAGAGTAATATTTTATTGATTAATGTAATTATATAAGATATCTATAACGTATATTAAGAACTAATAAAAAAAAATACTTGTTTTTTCTCACATTGTAGAACTTCTTTTCCACATCAACAAGTTTATTATTTTATCTAATACAAAGTTTATACTATCTCCGTTCGACTCTAAAGGTTTCATTTACTTTTTACGTGTTGATATTTGAATATTAATTATTATATTAAAACGTAGTACAAATTAAGAAAATTGCAAAAATACTTTCATTAGTGTCTTATAATACTAATAAAATGACATTTATACAAATATAAAGATATTTTTAATCTTAAGTACAATGACACAAAAGGTAAATGTGATCCTTAGAGGCGGACAGAGGAAGTATAATATATATATATATATATTTAAGGGACACTTGGATTTAAATTCATCTGACTTGTAACACATTTAAATTCAGTCTCTCTTCATTTTCAAAGTACACTGCACTCTCTACTTTTGATTTTCATTTACATTTGACTCTCTAATACCCATTTTACCCTTGAAATTACTATATAATATAACGAATATTGTATGTACTCCCGTTATTTTAATATAAATCTACATTATCTAATTACATACTCTAAAATTATCCGTCTGTACAAAGAAAATGTTAAGTCATGTACCTGAAAATTTTATTTATGTACTTAAATAAGTTAAAGTAAATTAAACTCAAAAACAAAATAAAACTCTATTAAAACCCACCATCCGAATTGTGGCTTGGTCATTTTTTCGAAACTCGTCCTCTCCCACATTGCCACTCTTCGTCGAAACCCCCTATTAAAGTAATAATCATTGAGCCTCCTTGCAGAAACGTTCGTCGCCGTCAGAAGTCTCCACTCACTGGCCAGAGCTCCATTTTCGTTCGAGATGTGAAAAAAATCTCCTCCTCAAAACATAGTTTGGAAAAAGTAAGTTAAAGTTTATGATTTTCGTAGGATCAAGTTTTTGAGTTCATGTTGTATTTAGATTTATTTTTATTTTGTGCGTCGGTTGAGTTTGTACAAGTTCCGGTAATGAGTCAATTTACTTTGACATTGTATTGGGTCGAATATGAGTTATTTTGATGTGTTTGAAATTATAAATGATCTTGTGTCTTTAGAAGTACCTTCATGTGTAGTTTTCTAAGTTTATATTTATAGTAAAATAATTCAGATGTAAGGCGGATAGTGCTTTTTGTTTTTTTCAAATACCATAGGAAAATTGTATCTTTTCGGATGATTTTCTAAGTACAAAGGTGTTGGGCGATGTCTCTGTCATGGGATTGGTTATAGATGTATCTAGTTTTATTGATTAGTAAAAAATTTGTTTGTTCTTTATATTGTTTACAAGTGTCTTCCATTTTCTTTGGAGTGTCTTGATTGTTAATTAATATGTCTCAAATATAATATTACTTACCTTCGTAGTTATGCCATAAACTTGTGTTTGTGTTGGGTATACTCATAAACACATATTTTTATTTGAAATGATGACAGATCCAAAAAAAAAACACAAAGACCTTATCTCCAGATTTTTTATACATTTATTCTATACAAAGATAGTTAAACTTAAAGTTGGGATGAACGAAAAACAACTGAAAGCTTTGCAACTCACACTATTTGGTTATATGGAGGAGTTTTTATAGATACCGAAGTAAAGAGACCGTTACAGATGCCAATGTGAGAGTCTCGATTGTGGGCCACTTGTATGCATGTACACTGAGAGTTACGCTTTAGATGATCCACCAAGCAGCTGGGTGTCCAAATTCGATGATGTCAAGGCTTGTTGGACTAAAATTGCTACAAGAATTTTAGCAGAGGCACTATAGGGTCTGTCTAATTCAATTTGAATGTTTGGAGTGTGATTATATTTTAAGAGATTGTTTAAACCAACACATGATATTTTAAGAGATTGTTTATATGTACTTACATTATGGTCATGTATACGTTTGTATATACGATAGGTAATTCGAACTTTCTAATATATACCTCTGTATATAACTTGGACACCCAAATCACATGCACAAATGTGCTGCAGGAGAACATGTACCCAAAAAATTAAATAATATACTTCAGATGGATAAATTCTATAATTAGATGTCGATAAAATCCTAGGCCAAGACCACACACCCCCAATGATGATATTTGTATCTTTATTTCGAATTTATATACCTCTGAACTAATCGAATCCACTCATATGAAGGAATATGATCTCTAAGTAGCTTTATCCGCAATCGACGTACAGTTAGAAAATGTGTACTCACCAAATTGTTCTGAAAGCACCGATGGACCGATGACAAATCCACATTAATGACTAATATGTTCCCTACAATATGAGAAAGTCCAATATTTCTCATTAATAATATTTTCTATCCCTTCCAGTTTATTTACTTTCGTTTGGTGTTACTTCTCACTCTCATAAATGCTTGGACGGACAATCATGTTACAAAGAACGTATGAGGTCATCAGTCATGAAGTGATTTTAATATATCTATTACCATGGGTCACCTCAACATATTTTATTTCATATTTATTATAACTGAAATTCTTCATCCACCATTGAATATATGGATAGGTTCTTTGGTTGTCGTCTCGGAAGTATTCATTGCTGCTCACTCACTGCCCAGAAAATGAATATGATAAATTAACTCGTAGTTGTTTGATCCAACAACAATCATTGATAAATCTTGGCCTTGTTAGGTGAACACCCATGTTCACATTAATAATACCTATGCATGAATATGAATACTTTCATACACAAAGATACACCAGCTTGCTCGTACTATGTATACCTCTGGTATTAACAAATATACTTTTTAAACTTCATAGAATACCCGTATTGTCACTATAACAACTCTGTTCAAAAATTAAATACCTACACGTGATTCAATGTCAATGCAATTTGAAATAAATGATGAAAACACATTGTGGGTCATATTATACTATAAGAAGTACTTTGGGGACACAAAAGACCCAGGTGTTATGCTTAATTTAATTAACCTAGCTTTATATCTAGTGTATTTTCGTCATTGATAATTGTTATCATTGGTCATATTTTATACAACTACAATAATTTGTAATATACTTTCGTTGTAAATTTACATACCCATGGATACAACTAATTTGAAATTAATTTGTAATGATACATACTCTCACATATTAGTTGTGTACACCGAAAAATATAAGGGGAATGTTATCTAATTTTGAAATCATTCAATAGTGGTCTCATACACAGATATCCGTTCAATGTACAATTATCCAAAAATAAAATAAAATTCCAGTCATATGATGAGGAATAAAAAATACCTAAGATAAAGCCTCCTTGCAACTTTTTCGGTTATATCCTACGCGACCACCACGACCATATTTTTAGATTTTTCACCTAATGTGATTCAAACCGTCTTTTTTGGCCGGCCTAGTTGGACAGATATTGTACGAGAAATTATCTCTCATGCGGGTTGTTCTGCGTCACATCTATTTTTTCTTGGATGGTTGCAATTACGCAATAAAGTTTCAAGCAAGTGGCATAGCCTCCACAACAGATGTTATATGCTGTCCAAAATCCTTCCGCAGGGGTGAGTAAACAGCTTTGTTGAAAACAGACGTTCATCAATTCTTGTGGTGCATAAGATATCTCTGCATTACCTATACAAAATATAGTTAACTTTTTGCGTATATCATAATAAATTAAACAAATATTCTACACATACCTGTATGCGAAAATTGTTTACTAAATGATGAAGACAGTATGCGTGGTGGGCTTTAGAAAATACAGCGAGAATAAATTTTA